GACAGAAAACAAATTTCGTCAAAAATTTTCCACGAAAAATTAATGAATTTATGTTGAAAAGTGATTTAAAATTTTTTGACGGAAAACAAATCCCGTCGAATTTTTGTAAAAATTTTCTGTCTACAAAATTAATACCAATTTTCTATGATGCACTTGATAAAAAAATATAATTAATTTAAACAACATATCAAAATTAAATCTCCTTGATCATTACATTAAATGAACAAAAGTTCATATCATGATATTAGGCTAAATAATAAAAAAAGACTTATACAATTAGTTAGCTAGTGGTGTACAACTATGTAGCACCGATACTGACACGGGACATGTGACACGATACGACACGACACTCCGACAAGTTAATTTTAAAAAATGTTAGATTTCGACACGTTAGGACATGTTTTGATATTAAATAATATTTTTAATCTATGTAGTGCATATTATATTTAATATTCAATAATTTAACAAAAAAATGAAACTAAACTTATAATATTCATCAATTTTGCAAAGAAACATAAGATATCCCAAATATTTATACTAAACTCAATAAAATGATAATCGTAATCCAACGAATCTAATAGTTGGAACTAAAAACTCAACGCAACGCAACCTGTGAACCTTTTTTTGAATTTCTATAACACGTGTTGGAGTGTCGGGGAGTGTCGGAGTATCGAAGAGTGTCGAGAAGTGTCGGACACGACACGTCAGGGTTTTTGAAGTGTCGGTGCTTCATAGGTGTACAACAAGTATATATTGTAACCTTAAAAAATTAATAAATAAAAATTAACAAATCAATACACAAAGCAAAACTGACTTCAGAATTCTTGTATATGTATAATATAAATTAAAATTGGCACTGATTTATTTGTGGTGGAGTCTTCCAATTGCTCATCCTTCAAATGACCAAAATTGAATTATGTATCAGCTTCCTTGACAAGAAGCACATTCTTCAATCTTATCCCAAAATTTTCATCCTGCATTACCAAGTTCTGAAAAAAAAAAAAAAACAATTCATATGCATAATCCATAATAAATGTATTTAAGTAGAATTGAACATTTATGGCTTTGAAATGATTAGTAAATAAATTGAAAATGATTGAACACAATCCATTATAAATAATAGGAAAAGACAGAAAGGAAAACTCATCAAAAAATATGGTTCAAAGCGCTTACCCAATTATGGAAAGAATTCCACATCTAGATCTTTGGGTCCAGTCACAAAATAATCTACAAATAGAATAGTATTAAATCATGGATTTCAATTCAATATCCAGGTGGAACTTCTATCATGAACACTATTGTGGAGAGTAGGCTACATAGAGCTAAATGGAAAAATTTCATGTACACAATCTGATAATGGCCCGTAGGCTACATAGAGCTAAATGGAAAACTTTCATGTACACAATCTGATAATGGCCCATCAAATCTTACTGTTAAGAAATAGTAGACATAAATGCTAATTCATCAATCTTACCCTTCGGGAACTAAAGTGACCTGAGCACATACCTCAACTGTGTGAGGTTCAGGCTACAAAACCAAATTTGAGATATTGCAAAACGCGAATGAATATTTGATCAGCTCAAGCTTGAGATTTGGTCAAACTCGAACCTAAGAACCAAGTAAATTATAATTAGGCTCAGAATTTCTCAACCACCAGCTCTAATCACAACTATAGATCCTACCCACAAATCTAACTAAAACAATAGAATTGTCTTAAAAAAAAATACAAGAAGACCATGGAATAATGTTATGCCTTGTAACCAGCCATCCAAAATGTAATTAACAAAAGTATATGAAATGAAAAATTACCACAATTATAGATAAAATATATTAAATGCCTATGCGCCTAATTAAAGACCATTTTCCGTCGAAAATCTTCACAAAATAAAATTTTTTACAATTTATTTTATTCATCTGTTTTCGACGGAATCTATTTTCCGTCGAAAACCTTCAGAAAATTAATTTCTTTTACATTTATTTTATTCATCCGTTTTCGACGGAATTCATTTTTCGTCGAAAATCTTCGACGGAATCCATTTTTCGTCGAAAATCTTTGACGGAATCCATTTTTCGTCGAAAACCTTCACAAAATTAATTTCTTTTACATTTATTTTATTCATCCATTTTCGACGGAATTCATTTTTCGTCGAAAATCTTCGACGGAATCCATTTTCCGTCAAAAACCTTCACAAAATTAATTTCTTTTACAATTTATTTTATTCATCCGTTTTTGACAGAATTCATTTTTCGTCGAAAATCTTCGACGGAATCTATTTTCCGTCGAAAACCTTCACAAAATTAATTTCTTTTACATTTATTTTATTCATCCATTTTCGACGGAATTCATTTTCCGTCGAAAATCTTCGACGGAATTCATTTTCCGTCGAAAACCTTCACAAAATAAATTCTTTTACAATTTATTTTATTCATCTGTTTTCGACGGAATCCATTTTCTGTCGAAAACCTTCACAAAATTATTTTCTTTTACATTTATTTTATTCATCCGTTTTCGACGGAATTCATTTTCCGTCGAAAATCTTCACAAAATTAATTTCTTTTACATTTATTTTATTCATTCGTTTTCGACGGAATTCATTTTCCGTCGAATATCTTCGACGGAATTCATTTTCCGTCGAATATCTTCGACGGAATCCATTTTCCGTCGAAAAAATTTCGTCAAAATGAATTTTCCGTCGAAAATTTTTGACGGAATCTGTTTTCCGTCAAAAAATTCAACGAAAAATGAATTCTGTCGAAAATTCCATCAGTAATTTCCACGGAATTTTTTCCGTAGAAAAATTCCGTCGATAATAATGACTTTTCTAGTAGTGAAAAGTATACCATAGTCGCTACGTATCATGGCTACTTTGATCAAATGAGTAACAGATGTCTTACCTAACCCAAAGTCGCTACATAAGGTAGCTACTTTGGGCAACCAGGCCTCCTAGGCTTTTTCAACCACCGAGGAAGTGTCACGTGTCTGGTCCATAGTAGCTGAGTACCTCAGCGACTATAGTGTCGTGGTAGTGTGGTAAATTTTTTCAAAGATGTGGCATTCAGATATATTATTCTTACAAAATGGGCAGTACGGTCAATGTCCCCTATTATCTCTTGTAGACTCATTTATGCAGGTGGGGTCCATTTTTAGGGGAAGAGAAAAAAAAAAGTAAAGTAAGATCCATCTTGAGTTTATGTGTATAGGAGATAAATTCTTTTTTATATGAAATATAAGAATAATAAATACAATAAATATTATACTATGCATGCGTATGTAACAAAGAAATAAATAACAAGTTCTAAGTTTAAGAAGTTGGTTATACTGAGACAAAAAGAAATTGTGTGGGTCATACAATAAAATTTTGAGCCAAAAAGAAATTGTGTGGGTCATTTCTATCTATAATAATATATGGGATAGATTATTCTATTTTTTTTCATATCTACCTTTCTTACCTATCAATCTCCAACATTGTTATATTAAAATTTCAACTATCATTTATCATTTCTCTATTCTTTTGAGATTTTGATCTAACGATATTGAAGATTGATAAATAAAATAGACATAAAAAAGGTAGAATAATTTAACCCATAATATATTATGAAAAAATTATTTGTCTTTTTAAAGGACATAGAGTTGTAACATTTTAAGAGAGAAAAAATACAAACTAATATTTTTTATTTAAAATTTAAATTAAAAAAAGCACACACTTTCTTCCCCATAATTTCCATTGCTTGTAGAGGTGATAATATTGGTTGAACCCGACGGGTCAACCCACCAAAACGGATGATTTGGGTTGTACATCTCAACCCACCAACCTGCCCCGCTGGGTTGCGGTCAAAACGGGGCTAGGCAAGTTGGCCCGTCGGGTCATTTTTATTTTTATTTTTACTATTAGGTAGTATTTTATTTGTCACTAAACTTTTATGATATCTAATTTTTTTATCTTAATACTTCCTTAAGAAAAATAAATAGAAAATTTTATTTATGACAAAGGTTATCCATATATGAAAGCAAAAATAAATTCCTAAAGAATACCTGACTGAATATTAGCATATATTTAAGAATAAAATGAGAAAAAAAACTAAGGGGAATATAAAATGAAAATAAATAATATTATAAAATTCATAAAATATAATTTATTTTTATTTTTATTTTTTAGGTGGATCGACCCGCCAACCCACTATAAAACGGGACGGAATGAATTTTTCATTCCACATTCAACAGGTGGGTCAGGACGGGCCGATCCGTTTTACCCCCTCTAATTACTTGTATCTTTCTCTCACTTAAAATGACACAATTTTAGGTCCTTCAAAAGAATAAACATCAAACCCATATATTATATAACCAACTACATTTTGAAAATGTTGTGCCAGCTAAATACCCATTCTTTTAGAGCGAGGGGAAAAACTCGTTGATAATTGTTAAATTATTGTTACGAAGTTATCGACGTAGAAATTGTAATGTTTATAAAAAAGAATATGCCTTAGGTAACCGTAACTACTAGTCCATTTTTTAGATGCAAATCAGCTTTTCTCTCCTAATTAATAACACTTTTCATTATATCTCAATTCTTTCAATAAGGCTTGATGGAAAATCGTTGTTAGATGATTTTAAAAAGCATATTCATTAAAAAACTAACAATTATATAGTATAGTAAATTATTTATAATATTATGACCATATTTTCAAGTATCGCTACTACTCTGAGTGCATGATCAAACTACCGAAATCAAGTATAGAAAAATGGATCCTATAAAAGGAAATTTGTTGATAAGGATTGTAATTTTCCTAAGGGGGCGTTTGGTTGAGGAGAAATTTTTTGAATACTAGGGAAATGTAATTACTAAAGAAATGGTTGGAAAGTGAATTTGGTAGGAAAATGTAAAAAAAAATTGTTTGATTGACCAAAATATTACCAGGGAAATTTATTTAAATTTGCAAAATCTATGTTCGAGAGAAACTTCGCACCTGTTTTTTCACTTCCCCCCCAGTTATCTCAAAATACCACATCTCAAGTGGTATTCTGTAACAGTGAATTTCATCAAAAAATCAACACAAAAGTCATTTTCCCATCTATTCTATTTGCCTAGTATTTTTTGAAAAAACCTGAACCAAACATGGTATTTTCCAATATCCACTCACACTTTCCCATCAATCCCAAAATAAATCTTCAACCAAACACTACCTAACTCTTAAATTTGTATCATACACAATCTTACAAGGTGCAATCAGCCTAGGCTTTGTTATTGAAAGGAATATAAACAAATGAACGCATTTTAATCATCATAACCATAGCCTGTAAAACCATCATCGATCTCCACATCACCATTATTACCAAATCCAGACGTGATACTGAGGAAAAGAGCAACTGCAACCAGTTGTGATACCACAAAATATTTGGCCCTTCTTCTAAATGTTTTCTCCTCCTTTGTTTTCTCCCTTTTGGGTTTGCTCTTGGGCTTTGAACCTAACAGAAAAAAAAATGACAAATCAAACTTCATTAAAAATGAAATAATATAAGAGCTTAATTAAGGGTGACAATTTTAAACACGACCCTCTAACACAATACGAACACAACACGAAAATCTGATATGAAAAATTCCGTGCCGTGTCACATGTCAACCCGCAAACATGAAATTGACCTGAATTAATCTTATTACAGGTTATTCGTGTCGTGACGTGTCATGTCATGTCAACTCGCATAATAAGCCAAACACATTGAGATTGGCAGGTTATTTGTATTGTGTTGTGTAAGCTAGCATAATAAACAAAACACTTTGAGATTGGCGGGTTATACGTGTTGTATCGTGTCAACCCACAAAATAAGCGGATTGTGTTCATGTCAAAGGTTTTGACCCATTTTCAAATTCATGTCGTGTTCATGTCATCCCAAATTGCCACCCCTAAGCTTAATACATCACACAAAACAGTAACAAAAAAACATAGCTACTGAAAACCTAAACATTTCAGAATAATCCATTCCATATCTGGAATATTTCGTAGTAGTTATATGAATGGTACTATCCTATTCATACCATATTGATGAAACTCAATTTTATTAAACTGAAATAGATGAAAACGGTATCGGATTACAAAGACTCAATGACAGAAAACAGGAAAACAAAGGCTGGAAACAGCCTTTTCAATACAGATTGACACCCAAAGATAACCCAGAGGGCTGCCTGCAGCACCTCCAAACCCTAATCCCCAATATTCACTCAATACATGCCTACCTCATCACTCCACCCATTCCCCTTCCTTTTATCCTACCCTCACAGAATATTCTAGAAGAATCCCCTAACTAACTCTCTTCCTTTTCTCTCTCCTTAACCACACCTAATTCTGTTATTACATACTTTTTTTATGCTCATCACATATCAAGCCAGCAATAACATTATTACTACAAGTAGTTCAAACCAATAAAGAGAGAGAGGAGTTCTATGGTAGTTATGTAAAGTAAAAAGAAAAAGAAAGATGCGCCGGTTACGCGTGATAAGGAAATCCCATAAAATAAAACTGATAGATTAGGAAAGTAGGAATTACATAATCCTGAAAATATCTTACTTGAAGTTGAACGACCTCTGGAAGCTGATGATGATGCATCTGCATGAAAATATGGATCACTGGAAGAAAATGAACCAGCTTCTATAAGTTCTGTCTTACATTGTTGCACATATCTCACTAAAATAGCATGTTCCAAAAGATTGATCCGAAGCATTGACGATTCCTGTTAGTATACAAATGCAGGAACCAAAGTTAAATTTTTTGCTCGAAATAATAATTCTCAGCACCTCTGGTAAACAATAGCTGCTACACAAACAGCGTACATTTATCTCAGGAGCAAAAAAATGTAAAAGCATATAATCTATGATATTCATTAAGTGGAGAAGCCAGGAAACCTCGAGAGTAGAAGAATGCAAAAACAACTAAAGTGCAGATGATTACACCACTTTTGTGCCAAGAGATAACCGCTTGACTTTGCTCATTCAGAAGTGTTTCCCATTATCAGGTTTTGCTTCAAGAATAACATTCTCAACAAGAAGAAAACAAGGAGTCGCAAATTATCAATCTCGCATTGGATCACATCTAATCACTATAAATCTGAGTTGCAGATTTTCCTTCCAGTGCCCCTTGTTCATAAATTTTCTTTTGATATCTAGTCACCCTATCATGCATGTTCATACATTTCTTATACCAAAGACAAGTATTCAAGTCCAAAAAACCTCCAAATGGAGCTGACAACAGCCCAAAATAAATATCACGCCTCTAGTCTAACATGTATAATTATAACATCAAGCAAAGAATGGTGGAATTGAAGTTGACAGATGGATTGACAGTTTATTGCCCATTCTTTAACTGCTTTTCCAGCATTAGTGTTTTTTATTTAGATAAAAACTTTTAAACATTAACTTAAACTACTTCAGAATAACTAATCAATTATCCTTCATTATATGTCGACACACTTCATATAGTGATACTCTTTAGATGGATTCCTTACCATAACCCCTATATATATATATATGTGTGTGTGTGTGTGTGTGTGTTTATCAATGGCATTTTCTTTTGAACCAAGAATCCACCTTTAGACCATACCATTTTACCCTAGTAATGACATACTTGCTGGGCGCATTCATGAGCAAGTTCCACAATGCATGGTTTTTAACAAATGATACAGTCCAAGTTGATGAGTTAAGAGAAGGAGCAGATTGTGAACTTGAAATATGGAGAGAAGCATTGAAAATAAAGGGTTTTCCATTAAGTAGGAGTAAGAAGGTGTACATGGAATACAAGTTCAGCAAGAAGCAAGTTAGTAATGTTTTGTAGGGGAAAATTGCAGAGCACATCTTCAAATAAGTTGTGTGGTTGAAGTATCTTATATCTATCTTACCATGGAGGTATTGAGGAGGATGTAACACACAGGATGCAAGCTGATTGGATGACATGAAGAAATGCTTTCATGCATATTGTGATCGCAAGGTTCCTATCAAACTAAGAGGAAAATTCTTCAAGACTAGCTATAAGGCCAGCAATGGTATAAGGTAGTGAATGTTAGGTAGTAAAGTGAAAACAAGGCACCAGTGAGACTAAAAGACAGTCCAATTCAAAATGGTAGACGAAGACCACAGAAAACTTTTGGAGAAACCACTAGAAAATACCCTACTCTAAATGGATTTATTGGTTTTTGATAGAAAGCCAACCCCATCTAGTAGGATAAGATTGATTGTTCTTCGAAAGCATCTGCTACTAAACAATAGCAACTGTTAGCTACAAAGTGGAATAAAATTATAAAACTTGTACTAGGAGAAGATAAAACAAGGAAATGCCACCAGTTTATACGAGCTTCTTCCACAATCATCAAACAAATTATACTAATGTAATTTACAGCTTCAGTTAATTGGCAGCCAACTTGATAATAATTCCTAGGGTGTAAAAGTTCAAAAATCTCCATGGCCATAAGTCAAAAGTCATTAAGTTAGACAGCTACAATATATCTTGCACTTAAACAGTAATGCAATCAGATTTCCCTAGAATTTGTGCACGCATCAGTAGTCAGTGCAAGCCATCAAATTTACAGAACCATAAAAAAATATTGGCTTTTCATGCAGCCCACTGGTCCCTATCACCTTCCAACTCTAGCTGGTTGTTCATCTTTCAGCACACACAACTTTGCCGTAAGTTAGCTAAACGGAATTATTTTATTGAGTTCTGCTATGAGATATGGGCTCAATAATTTTGTCCTTAATCCACTTATGAGCTCCTTTTGAATCTTATACCTTAATGCACAGATTTTTTGTCCAATTTTTATTGACCAATGAGCACTATAACCCAAATGGCCATTAATAACTAGATTATCCATATTATCGTAAAACAAATATCAGAATCAATGCATAATTGATAATATAACTCACAGGTAAAGCTTGAAGAACGACTAATGCATGTGCAAGAAAAATAGCATCCAAGCTTGATGGCCTACATAAACAGAATAAAGCATGTGTACACATTACCAGGAGGTCAAAGTCAAACTTTCTCTCAACATGAAAAGGAAACCAAAATATTCCCACATATTTGTTGGAAATCGACAACACACAAATCGAAAACGGAAAAGAAAAAAAGAGAGAGAGAGAGAGAGAGAATAGACACAGCGATTTACCCTGGTTCACCCAATTTAGGCTACGTCCAGCTTGTCTGTACTCTATTCACCTCACCGCCACTCGTTACAAGTCTCTCAGTTTACAAGGCAAATATAAATAGGATTACAAAACCCTAATAGCAGCTATTCATGGGCCCAAGCCCAAACTGCTAAGAAAATTACAATAAAATCGAGGCCCACAATAGTACCTAGCCTCTACGGGCCTGGGGGCGCTGCCCCCGGACCCCCGCCCGCTCACCTGGGAGCGGAACCCCAGTTGCCTTTCTGCTGACCCCGATAATTAGGGCCCTCATCAGCATGCGAAGTATGAGCCATACCCAACAATATTGCTCTAACAAAAGATAATTTGACATATAACACAGCCAGAGGAATCACCTGTTTTCGAATAAGTAGTTTCCTTCCCCTAACCAAATTGACAGAGCATCATATGCAGATTTTGCTCTCCCATAAATCTGTTGATCAACAATAGCTATATAAGAAATATGAATACCGAAATCAAAGAGAAAACACATACACCATTAAAACAATCATGCAGAAAGAACAAAATGAATTTATTGGACAAAAGGTAAAAAATAAAAAAAATCCTACAGAACATGTAAAAGTTAGAAAATGAAGCAGATAACTTTTCATAGTCTCAAGTGTCATCAGAGCAAGTATCAAGAGAAACTGACCTCTTCTTCCTTTACTTCACCATTGTCTTTAGTTATCCCATGTTTCTGCTTTACCCAGTGAACTTTCTTCCAAAACAGGACTTTTCCAATAGGCCATGGAAGATCAGAATAATAGATGTTATAAGCAGAGGAAGCGTCACATCCCACCCACAGTTCATACTCAAGTGCATCAGCAAGCCAAGTTGTGAGCATCACTTTGGTTGGCATCCAACCAGGGAGTGAACAAACCTCACTATCTAAATCACCTACATCCCTTTTCAAGCACTCAATGATCCCCTCCTTCTCATTATTATATGCCACATAATCACCATTCTCAAAGTAAGGAATTTGATCTAAACACCAAAAATAACAAAAAAACAAAAACAAAAATCACAATCATGAAAAGAATAAAATCAAATAGAACACCCATATACCAAAAAAGAAAAAAGAAAAAATAGCAAAAGGAAAGGAACATTATCAAGAGGGTATGAATTTAAGATAACCCAAAAGCCTCAAACACAATAAAATGGTTAAAAGGCCAAAACTTTGAAAAATAAATAGATAAAGGGGCTATTGTAGATGGTAAATAACCATTTTTATTTTTATTTTGTTAAAACATAAAAGAAATGAAGATTAAGGTTTACCAGAATCAGGGTAGTTAGAGTGGAAATCCAAGTGGAAGGGATGTTGAGAAAGCTTGAGATAGATGTAAGCAGACAAGCATTGAGGGCAACCTGTTGGGAGACCGAAGCATGGTTTTCTCACCACAAGGGTCTTCCTTCTTGTGCTCTCATTCCCTTCCGTTTCCATGCAGAAGAACAAGAAGAAGAAAACTGTGATGGGTCAACACTGAACAAAAAACACAAGATTGGAACCGAAACTTGCGAAATGGACTATCATATGAAAACGAAGCTTCCTTCCTTGGTTTGGTGAATGGGCCAGGCCTTATTGGATCCGAAAAGTATTCCTCCGGGTCTGCGCCAACCCGGATTTTTTTTTAATCCAAAAACATTATTATTATTATTATTTTTATTTGATAAACAACTTGTATCCTCCTCCACTCCATGGGAGGTAATTCTATTCCGATGGTTCACATTAAGGTTTTACACCCTGAATGATCAAACATAGCTCTCACCCAGTCACCCCCTCTTGCTCAGCTTCCATGGATTAATTATTTGTCATGTTACTTGACTATCTTGTCATCCCAAACTATGTTTTGGATATTTATTTTTCTTATTTAATTGATTGAAAATGGATAGTATATTTCTTTCTCTTCCTTTATCATTATTGATCCATGATATGCGTCCAGCATATGATGTTGTCCAACCTAAAAGAAGCAAGAAATTAATCATAAATGATTGAAAAATGGTCATAAATGTTGATTATTTCTCCGGCCAGCGCATTTTGCACGGAGGATGGAGCAAATCGCGCCATTTAGACCATTTGCTTTTGTATCTTCGCGCGATTTGCGCGGTGAGTGACGCAAATCGCGCCATTTTGCAGTTTGCTTCCTGTTTCTCCGCGCAAATTGCACGGCTGATGGTGCAAATTGCGTGGGCGATACTTTTTATTTTTAATCTGATGCGAATTACACAAAAAGGGGGGCCCAATTGGAGGGCAATTGGAAGGAGGTTTTCCAAAACCTAATAAAAGGATCAGAAACATAGGAAAGAGGCACCTTTTGACGACAAGGAAAGAAAGATAACAAAGAGAGAGAAAATTCTTGGGAGCTTCTTGGAGTTTCAGGGATTCACACGATCAAGACTGAAGATCCTCATCTTCTTTCTCTTCTTTAGGTTCTAAAATTTATTTTCTTTTATATTGATTTTTTCAGACATGAATATGTCTGGCTAGTTTCTATTATTGTGGTAAGGGTCACAACCCTTGATGTGAATCCCTTGTAGTTTGGTTAAATTTTATGTTTAATTATTCCAATTCCATTTATTTTATCTTGTTCTTCATCTCATAATTCTTCTAGAACCGATCACTCTATTAGGATTGCGAGGGTTAGGATTTTCAATAGGGATATTGAGATTCTAGTTCCTAAAAATGGTAAAATAAATGTTCGTGTATGCACTAGGGATAGGCTATCTGAATCGCAAACGTGAAAGATTCATTAATTTAAAGGCTTAACTTGAAAAGAAATTTCTAAGGGATTAGGATTCTAATAGAGTTAATAAGGTTAAAGTCATTAAGGAATTAGGGCTTAACCAATCAAATAAAAGATAGTGAATCGTGTGATCAATTGCATAATTGAATGTAAACGTTAATCCTAGTTACGAGGTGGGGATCATAAAGGTGTTGGAGTCTTTTTACCACAATATTTTCTCAATTGTTTTCTCAATCTTTAATCTTTTGTTCTTGAGTTTCTAAAAGAACCTTTGAATTATTTACATTTTCTTGAGTTGTTCTCATTATTTCACAAACCACAATTGTCCTTAACCCATTTTTATTAATCTAACAAGAGATTAATAGTTATAATAAATTTGGTGTCTCAATCCTCGTGGAGACGATACTCTACTCATCATTTTATTACTTGGTACAATCTGTACACTTGTCGAGTGTGCAACAAGCTTTTGGCGCCGTTGCCGGGGATTGAATACGCCAAGTTTATTAATAACTTTTGATTTTCTTGATTGGATTTTGTGTTACTAATCTGTTTGCTTTAGTTTATGCGTGGTACAGTTGATCCTGAAAGTTTGATCTACGATCCAGAGATAGAAAGAACTGCAAGAAGGATAAGACAACTTACCAAGCTGAAAAAGCAAGCAGAAATTTCTACTTCACCTTCTGAGGTAGAATCAGAGATGGCAGAAGCCAATCAACCACCGGAAGAAGAGTTGATGGAGTCAATCTTGGCTCCATTGTTTACAAGGCCAAACTCCAGCATTGTCAGGCCATCGATTGATGCCAACAACTATGACATCCATCCATCACTGATCATATTGGCGGAGAAAACTCAGTTTGGTGGGGAAGACTATGAAGATCCTCATGACTTCATGGACAGATTTTTAAGAATTTGTGATACAACCAAGCCTCACGGAGTATCAGATTAGGGGTGACAAAACGGGTCAGCCCCTCCCCGACCCGCCGTTAACCCGCCAAAAGTGGGTTGGTCCGCCCCGCCCCGTCTCTTGAATTTGGGTTGAAACCCCAACCCATCCCGTTTTATGGCGGGTTGGCGGGTCAACCCGTTTAAAAAATAAAAAATAATTAAAAATAAAAAATAAATTATATTTTATTAATGTTATAATGTTATTTATTTTCATATCACATTTTCCTTAGTTTTTTTCCAATCTTAAGTCTAAATATATGCTAATATTTAGTCAGATATTCTTTACAAACTTGTTTTTATCTCTATACATAAATTACCTTTGTCATCAATCACCAAAAAAAAAATTACCTTTGTCATAAATAAAGTTTTTCTTCTATGTTTTTTCTAGAGAGTACTAAGATAATAAAAAATTGGATATCACAAAAGCTAAAAAAACAAATAAAATATTACCTAATAGTAAAAAAAAATAAAAAGTAAAAAAATTTGACCCAACGGGCCAACCCGCTGCCAACCTGTTTTGACCCACAACCCAACGAGGCGGGTTGGTGGGTTGAAATATGTAACCCAACCCGCCCCGTTTTGGCGGGTTGACCCGTCGGGTTCAACCCATATTGCCACCTCTATATCAGATGATGCAATCAGACTCTGGTTGTTCTCGTTTGCTATGACCGGAAAAACTCTCAGATGGTTGGATCGACAAGCTCCCAATAGCATCAGAATATAGGATGAGTTGGCAGTCAAATTCTTTGCTGAGCACTTTTCTATGGAAAAGTACAACAAGTTGGTAAATGAAATTACCAACTTCTCTCAACAACCGGGAGAGAACCTGTGAGCAGCCTGGACCAGATTTCAGGAACTGATCCTCAAGTGCCCCTAATATGACTTGCCAGACACTAAGAAGGTCAGAGTCTTCTATAACGGGATGACACCTGATTCCAGAATGGTTGTCAACGGTGCAGCTGGTGGAACAATAGGAAAGAAGACAACATCTCAAACTTTAGAGCTGATAGACTACATGGCAAGGAATGAGAATGCCTCTATGGCAGTTCAACCAGTTCAACCAAAGAAAGGAATTCTACAACTGGGGAACAATGATGCGTCATTAGCTGAGCAGAAGGTGATCTCTCAACAGCTAGCCAGTATGAATGCCAAGCTAGATAAGATGAAAGTCTCACAACTCAAGTTAATTCAGTCAATTGTGAGTAACTCAAAGGGGAGCATGAGACTAATGAGTGCCCAACACTCATGGGAGCTGAGCCATTCCAAGTCAATGGAGTTTGGTACGATCTAAGGCCACCACATAATTTCCAAAGGAATCGGAACAATGCTCAAGGGAGCAATTTCCAAAGGAGGGCTCAAGGTGGCGGCCTGGATTACAAATCCAACAACTATTTGCAACATCCACCAATTCCGCAGAACCATACTTCTGAATTGGAAAAAAAACATTAATGCAATTGACCAAGAAGACTACAGATTACATGCAGGGCACTGATGCCTTCAGGAGTGATACAAGTCCATTTATTCATGAAGCAAGAACCTCCTTTAAAAATCAAGATGCTTTATCAGAAATTTGGAGACTCAAATTGGACAACTCTCAAAGAAACTGGCCGGGAGAAATCAAGGTCAATTTCCAAGTAACACCATAGTCAACCCAAAGGAAGATTGCAAGTCAATTGTTACAAAAAGTGAAATTGTGATTACTCTTCAAGAAAAGCCAAGGGTGGCTCAGAAGAGGAAAGTTTATGAGCCAGTCATTGAACTTGAGCATGAAAAAGAGGTGGAAACACTTGCAAATGAGAAAGAAGAGCCTACAGAAAAAGGAAAAGAAGAGGCAAAGGAAAAACCTGTTGAAGCTCCAAAGAAGCTGATGGATTATTCTCATTTTGAGAAACCTCCTTATCCCATGAAGCTCAAGCAACAAGCACAGAAGCAGCAATATGTCAGGTTCTTAGATATGTTTAAAAAGTTGCATGTTAATATTTCTTTTGTTGAGGCTTTAGCAAATATGCCTAACTATGCTAAATTCATGAAAGATTTATTGTCTAGAAAGCATAAGTTGCAGGATTGTGAGGCAGTAGCATTTACTAAGGAGTGCAGTGCCATTATACAGAAGAAGTTCCCACCAAAGCTTCGAGACCTTGGGAGTTTCAACATCCCAATTGCGATAGGCAACACCAATGTTGGCCGGACACTTTGCGATCTTGGAGCCAGCATCAATTTGATGCCATTGTCAATATGCAAGTCATTGGAAATTTCTGAGTTAAAGCCATCCATGTCTCTTTACAGCTTGTTGACCGTTCCTTGAGGAGACCTAATGGAGTCATTAAGGATGTCTTTGTTAAAGTTGACAAGTTCATCTTCCCTGCTAATTTCATTGTGTTGGACATGGAAGAGGAGAGTGAATACCCCTTTTGTTGGGTAGACCATTTTTTGCTACAGCTCGAGTTATGATTGATGTAGACCAAGGGAAGCTCGAACTGAGGATGAATGATGAGACAATCACTATCAATGTTTTTGATGCTATGAAGAACTCATCTGATCAGAGTGATTGTTTCAGACTTGATGTGTTTGAAGAGGTGCTCAAAGAAGAAAAGCTTGATGATCAAGAGCTTAGAGAAGAGTTAAAGTCTCAAGATGAAGTTACTCCAGAAGAAGAAGTAGAAGTTGTTTTTGAGGTACTAGAAAAAGAAAGAAAATGATTTAGCCACAGTGGTACCAAAAATAGAATTAAAAGAGTTACCTGAAACTCTGAAGTATGCCTTCTTGGGAGATGAAAAGTAATATCCTGTCATCAATGAG